TAATTCATAATTAGTTTTTACCTGTTTTTTGTTTGTTATTAAAACGTGATTCTGAGTCATGGATTTTTATGAATCTAGTCACCCTAGTTAGTGTGATATTATTTTGTGGTGAAATCAAGTAGTTTACAAATGTATGAGTGAATTGTTTCTAGTTTGTTGATCAAATATGGAATTTTTAAAGTGAAGTTTCATACAAAAAGAAAAAAGTGTCTTCTCCAAAGTGTTGTAGTTTCTTGCTTACATCAACCATTTAATGATCAATTTCAACTCTTCAAAGTAGAAATTTGAGGAAATTACTGCAAAAGCGATGATTGAAGACTTGAAGTTTGTTAGTTAGGTTATAGATAGGATGATCAAGAAAGAGGACTAAATTGACTACGATTGAGCTTTTATCTTAGTAGACTTTATGTGATTTCTTATTCTAACCAAATACTTTGTCTCAAAATTCAACTTAGCGAAAGACAATTACGGATAATTTATTAGAGATAGAATTAGATGGATTTACCATTAGAGATAGAATTAGATCTTTGGGCGAGAAAATCTCAAATACTATATTGATTAGATATAAAGTTTTTACCTATATAATTTATATAGACGGATACTCATTATCTTACTAATCAATTTTGTTTGAATGAGTCCGATCAATATCTAATTTTAATAATATTTTATGCTAGAAAATAACTTAATTTTTTCATAAAAGATATATCTTCAAGAGACTCACTTAATTAGTTAACTTTTTTTTAGAAAATCAGTTTAGATTGATTTTGAGAAAAAACAATCATTTGATTTAAAAATCAAAGCAAATGCTCTTTTGTTTTGATGACTTATTTATAAAATTAAAACTTAATTTAAATCAATTTAATTCAATTTAATTATTTATTAGAAAATATTATATAAATAATATAAAGACACAATACAAAAAGAGATTATTAACTATGCATTAATGGTGTTAAACATTTTTACACATGCATCATCAAATCACGACATGTAAATATATGTGAAGATTAATTCCTAAAATATCTTCACAAATATTTATTTATCATTATTTGACTCAATATATGTGTAAAAGTATTTCATGCTTATAATTGGTAAACTCATAGAGAAATATTAGATGCATATAAGTTTTTCTTATAGATGCAAAATAAGTTGTAAATCTTTATTTTATAAATTTGATTTTTTGGCTTGTTAAAAAATAAATTTAACATAAAATATAATATGTTAAAAATTAACATTCAGAAATGACAATAATCAATTATATTTGAAATATATAAAATAGTAATAAATAAACTAAACTTTTTCTTTAAAAGTTGTTAATATATAAACTAAATTACACTAAAACATGTTATTAAACAAAGTTGAATTCAACAAATAATGGATTAACTCAATATATCTTACTAATAAAAAAAGATATTGCTAACTTATAATCTTGGAGCACAAGTTAAAATTAAATATAAAAAAAAAAAAAGAAATTATGTATTGAGTTTACTAAAAGTCTATTATTAATTTTTTATTGTTTTTTCAATACAAATTTTCCTCCGCCTTTAAAAAAGACAAAGATAAACACTTCTAATAAGCTAATCAAAGATATTTGAATATTATTATGATTTTTCGTGGCTTGAGGATTAGTCTCTACAGTTGTGTATATAAAATATCAGATATATAAAATAATATTTTAATGAATGTGTAATTCAAATTTATATATAAATGAAAATTTAGTTTTGATATAATATTTTTTGTTTCAATTGTTGGGTAAATATAAATTGTCGAGGAAGTCAAAACTCAAAACAAATAACTTCACACGTCCACTATGGAATAATTGAACTTTTTTGAGTAATTAATCGCATTAATTACACAGTGTTGAAATCATTATTAAGAATGTTTAATTTAGCAAAAAGATCATGCACTAATCGAGGCAAACCTGATTTACATAACTTCATTCCATTATATTTATAGTAAATAAATAATTAACAGCATAACTTCAAAATAAAACTATAATAATTATAATATATTAATTTAAGGTTTATTAATATAAAAATCACATAAGACAAATATTTGTGATTATTGAATTATAAAATAAATATTTGTTACTAATCCAAATTAATCAAATTTAGTATTTTTGCATCTTCTAAATAAAAATTAGAATATTTAATATATACTAATAAATTAAGTAAAATTTATATATCTAAAAAAACATTGAATTTACGAAATAACATTCCTTACATTATTTTTAAAGTGTTAGCATTTAGAGAAGAAAATAATTGTGTGGATCTTTTTATTAATATTGGCCTCAAATTTATTTCCTTCACTTTAATTTTTACTTCTTACCTTTAGATATTAGTCGGAATTATAGAAAGAATAGGTTCAGTTTATCTTCTTTTTTTTTAATTTATTTATTTTTGAGAGGCTTTTGATCTAATTTTTTTTCTCTTTTTTGTGTAATAATCATTTTTTTGGAATATATATATTCTTTATTAAAAAAACTTATGTTTTGGACATTGTAGACATTGGACTACATTTTCAAAAATCAATGCACTAAAAAATAGTGTTCCACTTTTTTATTTTAATTAAATATTACAACATCAATTTATATAAGCAAATCTCGACTTTCTCAATTCATGAAAATAAAATACATAATAAGCATATGTAGGAATGGTAAAAAATAATTGTACTCACGAGTATTCGAGGATAAAATCTATCATGAGTACGAGGTGAATAGTTTAATAGATATTTAAATTTCTGTTTAATAATGAATATGAATATGGATTTAATTATACTCATATCCGCAGATATCTGTATCTGTTAATAAATTATAAGAAATACTTAAATATTAATTTATTATACCATATCTTTTTATTTTTTTAAAAACTAATTTTTTCATATATATATATATATATATATATATATATATATATATATATATATATATATATATATATATATATATATATATATATATATATATATATATATATATATATATGTGTGTGTGTTTTTTCTTTGAAGAAAACCTTTTACATTTCATATAAATTATATTGGTCGTTTCATATTTAAAACATTTTCTTTATTCCATACCTCATTTCAATAACTTTCATCCAATCAACCACTTTTCTTATCTAATTATTAGTGTCTTCTCTATCATGGACTCTTTCACCTTGACTCACAATCACAATATCTTTTATTTTTTTGTTCTTTTACAAGATCTTTTATTTTTTTTTTGTTAAAAATAAAATGTATAGATATTATATTTTTGTGAAAATGAAGGAAATAAATGCAGCAAATTTTTTTTGTTAAAATAAGAAAGATTTATATGAATGTTATGTGATAATAACTTCTTGTGTATTTAAAAGAAATTGAAAATATTTTTTTTCTAAAAACATTTTATAAAAAAATATTATTCATAGATATATGTAAATATTTGCGGATGTCTTAAAATCCACATATTATAAGTGTAGCGGGTATTCGTACGGATATAAGATGTATATGTATATCATATTTATTCAACGGTGCGAACATGAATATCATACTATCTGCCTCGTAGATATCCATTTACATCTCTATTGATAAATATAAAAATACACATAACAAATATTTATAAATAATAATTATTAATTAAAATATGGAAGAATTATTCGTCATTGATATATTAAAAAAAATTGAAATACACATTTAACATTGATAAATATTAAAAGAAACATGGGATGAATATTTATGACTCATTTATATATAAATAAATGACAAGTATTTTTTACTGATTAATGTAAAATTAATAGAAAAATATTTACAATTAATAAATAAAAATGTACTAGAAACACATATTTATGGCTGATACATAAAATCAATTGAAAAATAATTTTAATTTATTAATATAAAAAGAATTGTTGAATATTCCCGCCACTAGGTTACTGGACAAAAAAAAACACGGGATAAATTTTTCTTCAATAATATATTTAAAAAAGTATGATTCAAACATTGTTTGCGGTCAATATAAAAAAAAAAACATAATACAAGTATTTGAAAATCATGACATTTTCAATAAATATAAAAATAAAACACGAAACAAATATTTGAATTATGACATTTTAGATAAATACAAAAAAATAATACACAAGACAAATATTTGAATCATGAAATTAAATCTATTTCAAATTAATAAAAAGCAATATTGAGAATTTGATTTATATAATCAAACAACAATTATCATAACTATTATATATTTAAAATGCTTGGTTGTTTAATGAAAAATATATCTTTTGCTACTTATGTAGTTAAATTTTTATGTATCAATTTGATATTAATTTTATTTAATAATAAATAATTAAATATATTATTTATTCTACATACTTAGCTAATACTTAATATCAACAAATATTTATAACAATTTAGGCTATCTAATGCAATAACACGGATATCTATTATAATTTACAATTTTATTATTTTTACTATATTAGTTAAATATTTGATAAAAAATCAATTAAATTGCATTGAATAGAAATAACCTCATTGCAAGAAAGAACTTGTTTTTTCCACTTGTTTATAGTAAAAGATTTACATAATTTGGATGAGGGTGTCGAAATTCAATTAAATTTTAAAGTACCAAAGTATTTACCAACTAAAATTTATACCAAAAAAAAAAACATAACAAAAACACTTAATTGGAATTTTTAAACCTATCTTCCGATTAAATTTTGGATAAATATAAATTGTTGTGGAAGTCAAAACAAATAACTTCACAAATCCACTATGAAATAATTGAATTTATGAATAATTAACCACATTAATTAGACCGTGTTGAAATCATTATTAAGAATGTTTTGTTAGGCAAAAGATCATGCACTAAATCACTTCATTCCATTATATTTATAGTAAATTTATATTTACAGCACAATTCAATTCATCAAATCTCTTTACTTGTTTACGAAAATATTTGCATTAATTCAAATCTTAAGTGTATATATAACCCTTCCCTTATGTCCCTCTTTTCATCAACCATTCAAACTCAGATGGCTGCAACCTCTCATCAATCCTCTACTACTTCTGCAGAGAACAAAGTTTCGATATTAATGAAGGAGAAGGATATTTCAAACTCCAAAATATCAACGTTCAAGCTCTCTGAGGATGCATCCATTCGCGGGTCGAATTTGCAAGAACATGATTTTTTCAACCATGCAAAGAATCTGGCGATAGGTTCATCTTTATTAAGCTTGGCTAATAATAAGTCTAACAATGAAGAAAATATTAAGAAAGAGTCTTCAAACAGTTTCTCATGCATCTTTTGTAAAAGAAAATTTTCTACTCCGCAAGCTTTAGGAGGACATCAAAACGCCCATAAAAAAGAGCGTGAACTCGCAAAACACCGCAAAGAGGTAAACAATGATTTTGGAATTCCTTGTTATCCTTTTCCTTACTACACTAATTATCCTAGTCTTTCTACAACTCCTTATCAAGGATTTAGATTTGGACCTTATAATAATAGAGCACTTGGAATTAATAAGGGTTCTATGATTCACAAGCCAAGGCCAAATTATTCATGGATCTCACCTCTTTTTAAGTCATGTTCTACTTCTGTGTGGACACCAAAGCAAGAGATGATGAGAAACTTTTTTCCTATTGATGAATTGAAGAATGAGAGTCTTAAGGGAAATAATGTGACTCCAACTTTGAGAAATATGCTAAATTTAGAAGATGGTGTTGGAGAGTCTTCTATAAATATTACAGCAAAGTCAAACTCAAACTCAACTGAAGAGGATTCAATTGTAGTTGGCACAAGTGGTGATAATCTTCACACAAACATGAAAGAAGTTTCTGATTCTAAATCTTTAGAGCTTGATTTGTCACTTAAGCTTTAAAGTTTTTTGTTCGTCAATTTTGTTGTTTAATCTATAAATTTATGCTCTAACTTAAATTATTATTATTATTATTATTATTATTATTATTATTATTATTATTATTATTATTATTATTATTATTATTATTATGGATAAGGGTTTAGGGTTTTATTATTTTAATTGGTTGATTTAGGTTTTAAGGATATTGATTTAGGTTTTTTTTCTTAGTTGTCAACTTCTTATAGATATTTTGAATTGAGTAATTACTATTGTAGATCTTGTTTGCTTCAATCAACGGAATTAGCAGTAAACTCCTTAATTGTAATTTTGTTTCATAATTTTATGCACGAAAACTGATCTCTCATTTTAATATTTGTAATTTTTTTTTTAAATTTTTGATCTAAAAATAATAATGTGACGTTTTTTAAATGACGTGTATAATTTGGTATTATAGAATTATTAAAATTAATTAATTATTTATTTAATATTAATTAAAATAAAAAATTTCCAAAGTTATAAACAATTTTATAGACAATTCTACATCATTAAATCATATATTACTTAAATAGGAGGTCTACAAATAAATAAATAAAGAAGAAAAAAACTATTTATTAATGGGTTTAATGAATATATAATGATAATATAAAATAATTTTACACTGTCATCTAATAAAAAATTAGTTGATAATATAAAATTATTTTATGGTATTAGTGCATCAACTTTTCTTAATAAAGACAAATATTGTATTTTCTTAACTAAAATAGTATGATAAAAGATCTCAAAAGAAACAACATCACAATTTAGATTTTTTTTTTGGAATAACCATGTATTAAAAAAAATTCACAAATAATTATATTTCATAAAAAATTACGTAAATAACCATGTTTCAGATGACTCCTCAAAGGAGGAGCCATCTCACTTGGCGCCTACACCTATTATTTAAGGGGAGGCGCCATCTCACTTGGCGCCTAGGTGCTTAGGGTTTGCCCTAAGCCAAGTGAGATGGCACCTTAGTGCATTTTCTAGGGTAATTTTCGCATTTTTTTTCAATGCGGTGCTTTACGTATTTGATATAGGATCAACAAATTTGACTTTTTATTTACAAAATATGATTACACACATAAGTATTGCGTAAAAAAAACATATTAATCAATGGTCCCCCGAAACCCGGTAATGACCCCTGATTCCGCATCCCCGTCCTCGTCTTTCCCGTGCTGAGTTTCGTCGCGTTTCCTACTGTGGCAGGGTTGATGGCCCAGCGAAGTCAATGTGTTCTGGATCCATGAAATCAGTCAGATCTCCATATTTAGAAGATCTGCTTTGGTACAGTCGGTTACCCATACCCTCAAAGTTTGGTTGTGTTGTCGGTGGGTGGGGTTTCATGGTTGGTCTGTAGCATTGGTCGTCTGAGTACGGGGGTAGAAAGGAAATGGATCTTGGGGTGTTTGGTGTTGAGGATGTTGGGTGGTTTGGTGATATTGTGGTTGATGGTAAGTTTGGTCGGTTGGTTCATAATTTTCCGACATTCCCAGATCAGGGCTAAGGTTGGATATTGAGGGGCCCATATTGGGATATGCAGAAGACTGAAATTGTGTGTGGAGTATATGGGTGTGTTGGTATTGTGATTGAAATTGCGGTTGGGTATTAGGCATTTTGGGGTATTGGTACTGAGGTGTTGACTGTGGTTGGGTGTTTGTGGTTTTGTTTCGTCTGGGGGGTTAGTGGGAGGTTGATGTGTGTTGGGTTTGTTGTTGGGGAAATGAGGGTTGTGCCCATTATGTTCGTGGGTCAACCAAATATCTTGAATGAGACACGTGCATCTCAGGGGTACTAACCGATATGTACCAAGATAAATATTGATCCGTGTGTCGCATATTACCATGATTGAGGAAAATTGGGAATTGTAAGACATGTCGGTGACGCCTCTGCCACATCTTACACCATTCTGGAGCAAAGTCTTTCCAGTTGATAAGACCCCATTGGGCGTCGACCCTTTTGAGATTCCACGGGGACAAACAAGTCGAATTGCTGGGTATCTCTTGATGCATTCCAAACTGCATCTTCACACGGTCGTTGTGGTGCATCTCCATAATATTGAACCGTATGATTGCAGTCTTTACGCTCCAAATCGCTGCATCCTCGGGGTTTGGTTCATGGCCCATACCCAAATATGGTCTCCAGACAAACTGCAGATAAAATTAAATCAGGTTAATGAAAATGTAATATATAAATAATTTAAAAGTAGAAAAGTTGAAAGGTACGACATACATCATCCGGGCCAAGGTGATCCAATAGATTGCGGTATAGTGCGACATTGAATCTTGGATTCTTGCCGTAATCCATACCCCTCACGCAATACCTAAAGGAAATGAAAAATATTTTATTTTTATCATATATTTGGTGAAGAGATGAATAGTAATAAATGATATAATTTGATGACTTACTTTGTTGCGTATGGGAAAACGAATGTGTTGTTGTTGACGGGATTTAGGAACTTCATCCTCCACCAACCCCAGGCTTGAATTAAAAAAGCGCAGCCATAAAATGTACATTTTTCCTTGATTACATTTTTACACAAGGAACTGTATAGGCGGACTAAAACAATAGAACCCCAACTATACTTTCTAGTTTTTTCGAAGTCTCTAAGTAAATTTAAATACATAAAATTTACACTATTTCTCGTACTTTCGGGAAATAAAAAGGTTCCAAATAGTATCATTATATAAGTTCTAGCTTTTATTATCTTGGCTAGCACGGAGGAATTCTCGTTTAATTCCAGAGTCGCATAATGATTTTTTAGCTCAGTTAGTAGTATACCCTGACCTCTCGCACCACCACCGTCAACCATATCCATGCCCAACAATTCTTCACACAGAGAATTGGGTTGTTGAACCGACCCGTTAACAACCTTACCATCGACAGGGAGACCCAATAACATGTACACGTCCTCTAGCGTGACGGTACATTCACCTATTGGTAGGTGAAATATATGGGTCTCTGGTCTCCATCTTTCCAACATTGCAAATATGAACTTTGAATCAATTGTGCAGTTGGAGATCTTTATAACGTTTCCAAAACCTGCGTATTCCAGATAAGGTACGATCAATGGGTCTGGAGCAAGGTAGTTGTGTGACAGGATTCTGAATCTTTTGGTATTCTAAGTTAATAATGTAAAAGGTGTAAGAGTAAGTAAGATGAACAAAGCATTACTAAAAGTATGAAAAATGTATAACTATAAAAGAAACTTACAAATGCTGCAATATTGTCCCTTGTGCCTCTGTGAGAATCTCCCATTGTGAGAAGAGCCATTGTTGAAAATGCCTGAGATTATGAAATAGTTTGAAATTGTAAGAGATTATGAAAGAGTTTTGTAGCAGAGAGTGAGAAGTTTGTGGATACGAGAGAAGTATGTAATGCTCTATATTTATAGGCAAAAAAATTTCATAGAGTAAGTGAGGTGGTAGGTGGGTGCATGCATGTATGATAAGTGTCACTCTTGCGCAGGCTAGGTGGCAGCCTTGGAGAAGTCATCTCTGAATGCATGTAACACAATTGGACATAAAGGGAGGCGCCATTGGACTTGGTGAAAGAGTACAAAATTGAAAGGTGTCGCCATCCCCATTGGCGAATAAGAGGTGGCATGGGTTGCAGAGTAGGCGCAGGCTAGGTGACAGCCTTAGAGAAGGCATCTCTGAATGTATGTAACACTATTGGACGTGATGGGAGGAGTCTTAGAGGTTACAGTGTAGGTGCAGAGTAGGCGCAGGCTATGTGACAGCCTTGGAAAAGGCATATCTGAATGCATGTAACACGATTGGACATGAAGGGAGGCGCCATTGGACTTGGCGAAAGAGTACAAAATGGAAAGGTGTCGCCATCCTAATTGGCGAATAAGAGGTGGCATGGGTTGCAGAGTAGACGCATGCTATGTGACAACCTTGGAGAACCAGATTATTGGCCTGCATACGACGGCGAAATAGTATGGCACAATGACCAAATGCGAAGGAATAAAAAGGGTCGTCCCAAAAGTAAGCGCATCACAACCGAAATGGACTCCCTTGAAAAGCCGGAAAGAAAGTGTGGTTTATGTCGTCAGGTCGGACACAATCGCAAAAATTGTCTGAATCGGGCTATTGCCTCAACCACATAAAAATTGTATTACATAAAATATTTCCTTTATTATGTTGTAAACATTAGGGTTTTTCGTTAACAGTATTTGTTACAATAAACATTGCGCGAACAAGAAAAAAAACACAATATTCCGTCTACAAAATTACAACTGTTAAAACAATGTCATCTGACCCATGCATCATCAATATTACGTCGCTGTTTATTTTGACTTCCTCCAACCAAACATTAGGTCTTCCTGTCACATGTGAGGTTGTTGTTCGTCTTCGTTGAATCCTTCTAATTTTTCCCCCTCCACGATGTCTCCATCTAGCCATCGCATTAACTCCCGCTTCAGACGCTCCATGGAGTGAATGTGCCAGAATTTCATTTTTATCGGAGGTTTTATGGCGGAGAAGATAACATAACCATCTCTGATAAAAATTATGGGCGATGTCATGACGCAAATCACAGAGTAAAAAATAATAAAACAGTGCGAGAAAGTGTGAGAAATGACTGAGAAACTGACGAATTATTTATAAAAATAGCATTTTGCCCTAGGAGTCAAGTGAGATGGCGCCTCCTTTCACTTTTAAAGTGTATGCGCCATCTCACTTGGCTAAAAGAGAGAGAAGGCGCCAAGTGGGATGGCGCCTAGGGCTAAATGCATAGTGGAGGCGCCAAGTGAGATGGCTCCTCCTTTGGAGAGTCATCTGAAACATGATTATTTGCGTAATTTTTTTCGAAACATAATTATTTACGATTTTTTTTTAATACTTGATTATTCCAAAAAAAAATTCAACAATTTATGAGATCTCTCATCTCTTTTATTATTTATTTAAATGGGAAATACATACACAAACACAAAATACACAAACACGTTTTTTAAATTTTTTATTAAAAAATAATAAATA